AAAACCCACAACATAGATAACAATAGTATTTTACGTGATACGTAGAACAAGTTATTGTATAAGGCACGAAAGGTTTTGTAATATACCATGAATGAACTAATAGAATCGTATCTTCTCTTACTTGTGTAATTAAATACTATTATTATTTTAATGGAAAGCTTTGAAAATAGGGAAACATTTATGACACACAATAATAAAAGTCAATGAACAGCTGCCGATAGAGATAGAATATTACTCCGACTGGCATGTAAAAGGTGATGAAAATTGAAGTAAAACGTACTACTGCCGCCACAAGAGTGTCTATGTGATTTGTTAGATATTACTACCGATTATTAAATAACATTTTCTTAAACTCGCAAAAAACAAAAAACAAAAACGGAGCATGCGCTTTGATATCTCTCTGTTTCGAAACATCAGGCTTAAATTTTAACTCGAGTCAGGCGAGAATCATCATTGAAATAAGTTTGCTTGATGTAAGGTCACGGTGACGATTTTGTTAAGATAAAAACAAAGCTCTATTGTGAGTTTTAGTGCAAGGAGAAAAACCTCGTGGAAAGCAAAGGGTGTGGGAAACGTGGGGCAAATTAACAGCATTAGAATAAAAGATAAAATTCGATTGGGTTCTTTAAATTCCCTCGTCCATCCTCGTGAAACCTTCCGATAATTAATCGAACGTACAAGACTAGACCATTGTCCATCAATGGCTTGACGGTAAGCTTCAGCGATTATAATGCTAGAATTCGGAGCTCAACCCCTTTGCATTGTGCAGCTTTGCAGTAATTCAAGTACACCCTATTAAAACTTTGTCCAGAAGGAATAAATAACTAGGCCAAGAAGTAAAATGATTCCAATATTAATTAATTGTTTTTATAATTATTAGCATTGACACTAAGACCTTTGATTAGACGTTACCAGTTTAAAACTAAGTAGCAATAATTTTGTTATAAACAAACACTTTTAATCAAATTTTGTTATTGGTTGTGCATTAACAACAATAATAAATGTACTTGTTTTTCAGAATTTGTAGTACATATTTCAGGCTTTGTGTTAGTTGCGCTCTAACAATAACGAAATTTATTGTTTTTCAGAATTTGTAGTACATATTTCAGTCTTTGTGTTGGTTGTGCATTAACAACAATAATAAATGTACTTGTTTTTTATAATTTGTAGTACATATTTCAGGCTTTGTGTTGGTTGTGCATTAACAACAATAATAAATGTACTTGTTTTTTATAATTTGTAGTACATATTTCAGGCTTTGTGTTGGTTGTGCATTAACAACAATAATAAATGTACTTGTTTTTCAGAATATGTAGTACATATTTCAGGCTTTGTGTTGGTTGTGTATTAAACACAATAATAAATTTTCTTGTTTTTCAGAATTTGTAGTACATATTTCAGTCTTTGTGTTGGTTGTGCACTAACAATAATAATAAATTTTCTTGTTTTTCAAAATTTGTAGTACATATTTCAGGCTTTGTGTTGGTTGTGTATTAAACACAATAATAAATGTTCTTGTTTTTCAGAATTTGTAGTACATATTTCAGGTTTTGTGTTGGTTGTGTATTAAACACAATAATAAATGTTCTTGTTTTTCAGAATTTGTAGTACATATTTCAGTCTTTGTGTTGGTTGTGCATTAACAACAATAATAAATGTACTTGTTTTTCAGAATTTGTAGTACATATTTCAGGCTTTGTGTTGGTTGCGCACTAAAATAATAATGAATTTTCTTGTTTTTCAGAATATGTAGTACATATTTCAGGCTTTGTGTTGGTTGTGTATTAAACACAATAATAAATTTTCTTGTTTTTCAGAATTTGTAGTACATATTTCAGTCTTTGTGTTGGTTGTGCACTAACAATAATAATAAATTTTCTTGTTTTTCAAAATTTGTAGTACATATTTCAGGCTTTGTGTTGGTTGTGTATTAAACACAATAATAAATGTTCTTGTTTTTCAGAATTTGTAGTACATATTTCAGGTTTTGTGTTGGTTGTGTATTAAACACAATAATAAATGTTCTTGTTTTTCAGAATTTGTAGTATATATTTCAGGCTTTGTGTTGGTTGTGTATTAAACACAATAATAAATGTTCTTGTTTTTTATAATTTGTAGTACATACTAAAAATATTTTGGCAATCAAGGTAGAAAAAAAATATTATCTTTACTCTCCAGATTATAATAATAATAATCTATTTCAGCTAACGTTTCGCCATAGCGGTTTCACCAGAGCCAGTAATACAAAGTGTAATGCCAGTAATAATAAATATTTCTAGGTTTCGCGTATTGATGAACCAGTTTTGTAAGCAAGATCAATTTTTCTTTAAGGCTAATTTATAGTATTATTTAGTCTCATCATTCACATTTTTTTTAACAGTGTTAGTTTAGCAAATGGATTTGGAGCTAACAAGCCTTCTAGATTGGCCTACCTTTGTAAACATTGAGATTATAGGGGAAAAATGCTGTTCACAGCAAGATACATTCTAATCATTATAGGCTTAGCTTTTTGTGTATTGAGTAGTGACACAGTGCACTTTTATCATTTTTGTTTTAAAGTATTATTAGTAGACAAGTTAGGTTTTAGTTTTGATCTATGTAATTAGTATGCTTTTAGTTAGAAGTTATTAGTAGAAATTGAACATGTGGTGACGGCTTCAGTGAACACGTGCTTTCATTAATTGATGCTTAAAAACAGTTAAAGATGAATATCCTGGGCGAACTTTGAGAGAAGAGATTCCTTAATTTCTCTGTGAGTTTTTTTTTTTTTTTAGAGTAAAGCCACATTGGGATATCTGCTGCGTCCACTGCGGAGAATCGAACACCGGATTTTAGACTTATTGCTGTCTCATCGGGGGGACTACTCTACGAGTATTTATCAAGTACCTTGTTAAGATCTAACTTTAAAGACATTAACATTGTAAACGTTTTGTTCAATTTCCACTCTTGTCTCTGTAAGGGTGGTATTAGTACTAAATTGGTTTCAAAACTTGAGTCACTCTTACTGTACTTTTATGCACGATTTATGATGAAATATATCGACTCAATTTAATTTGAAATCAACTTAGTTGGTATTAAATCCGGTAACTTTCGAAATAATCTGTCTGTTTGATTTCGAAGGCTATCTGCGCTAGCTGTCCCTAATTTTGAAGTGATAAACTGGAACTAGTCAACACCACCCACCGTTAACTCATAGGCTATTCTTTACAAACGAATCATAGGATTGACCGTCACATTACACAGCCCATCACTGCATGTCCGGTAACGGGATTCGAATTTACGACCATCGGATTGCCAGTCGAGTGTCCAAACCACTAGGCTATCTGCAGACTTACAACGCTATAATCCGTGTTTCGATACCCGTGGTGGACAGAGTACGGATAGCCCATTGTGTTGCTTTGTGCTTAACTTCAAACAAAGGAACAAACTTTCGAAATCAAATGACAACGAACTATAGAACATTAAAAAATCTCCGTTATCCTGTGTTATGTTGGAAGCATGAGAGGTTAGGCGTGAGTTCTAGAACTTCTTTCAGAAATTCGAAATTTAAAAAGTAACTAAGACAAAATAATCAATTGAATGAGTTCGTACATGTACGGGTTGTTTGAGAGATTTGTCTAGTACGTCAAGATTATATCTAAAAACTAACATTCTCAAGAGGGGGTTGGACACAAAAAACTAACATTCTCAAGTGGAGGTTGGACACAAAATGGGACAGGTAATAAAGTTTATTAATTATCCAAAATGGGGAATATTATTTGCCATCCCCACCCCTTGGGGGCTTGATTGATACCTGCAGTAGATAGGGCATAGACAGCCCATTGTGTATGTTTTCGCTTAACAATGAACGTGAAATGTTATCTTTATGCTCAATATCAAAGCTGGGTGATTCAAACAAACAACGGAAAAGTTTTTGATTACGTTTATTCGTGGTTTTATACGTCACCACTTTCTCTTTAAAGATTTTTTTTTGTTGTTGTTTCTGGCTTGGACATCTCTGTATTGTGATGTTTCTCCAGTTTAACCCTAAAGATTGCACGAGCATGCTGCCTTTTTGGCTTGGGCATCTCTGAAATATGATGTTTCTTCAGTTTAACCCTGTCTTTCTGGCTTGGGCATGTCTGTAATGTGATGTTTCTCCAGTTTAACCCTAAAGATTGCACGAGCATGCTGTCTTTCTGGCTTGGCCATTTCTGTAATGTGATGTGTCTCCAGTTTAACCCTGTTTTTCTGGCTTGGGCATCTCTGTGATGTGATGTGTCTCCAGTTTAACCCTGTTTTCTGGCTTGGACATCTCTGTAATGTGATGTGTCTCCAGTTTAACCCGGTTTTTCTGGCTTGGGCATCTCTGTGATGTGATGTGTCTCCAGTTTAACCCTGTTTTCTGGCTTGGACAACTCTGTGATGTGATGTTTCTCCGATTTCGCCCAGTAAGTGACATTTAGAATTCCAACAATTCAATAAATGGATATTTTTGTATTAGAAATATTTTGCTACGAGCGTTATCATACGATAATAAATCACTTCAAAGATTAAGGTGCAAAGCGATATGTAGAAACACTGGCTATATTTTTCTTTTACATTGCACTAGCAGTAAAAAAAATTCACATGAAGACGTTAGGCTTTCCAACAACTGATATAACCTCGTGTCTTGTCCTGCCTAGTTTTAATAATGAGGGAGTCTAGACGTCCCGCTGATGTTTCCGCTTGACTCTGTCTAATCGTCTAATGAAAGAAGCTGCCCTCCTAGTGTCCTTCCTTTTCACGACACGTGGGCAATTTTTGGGGCAAATATATAGAATAATTGCTAGAGCGGAAGATAGAAGATACAGGAAGTGTCTCTCTTCCAAACATACCTTTGGTTAGTTGATTGTTATTCAGAGGAATTTAATATGCGCTACATTATCCCACACCCACTGTTCCGGAATACTCCTAGATTACTAAGTGGCGCGTCGGTATAAGGAAGAGAGAAAAACAGTTAGTTCATTCGTCCACGTTTAGGTGTGGAGAGCCACGTGCCACGTGTCTGTATCTGTGAGTGTGTATGTGTGCACCTAGACTGCAGGCGATGAAGATAGAAGGAGGAGACGCCTTCCAATTTGTCAAACACGAGGAGTGGTAGGTCGGGCGAGTTTATTGGTTGCATCAACTGGGTTCTGGGCTATATTCATGGCTGGAATCGACTTGGACGTGTCACCAAGAGAACCCGTCTTCAAAACGCTGAGTTCTGACCGATTAGCATATAGACAATTATCTCAAAGCAATACCTTTCTAAAAAAAGCATTGAAGATCACGTTGTCTTTTAAGTTATCCAGCAACTATAACGCTCAGTGAATTTCCATTCACTAATAAGCATTACCAAAACTGGGAGTTTTTAAAATAAGAACAATTTTGTTCTTCAACTCCAAAAGACATGTTTGGTTGCTATAGTAATTATTACAAATTCTTTCTGCTGGTTGCAGTGGGCAGTTGGTGCTGTGGTCAGCCCTTGCAAGCATTTACTAATGAATACTTCACGAAAGATGTAAGATACATGACAATACCTACACCTTTTCCTATCAGAAAAGTGAACGAATCGGAAGTAATTAGCATCCAAAGAGGAACCCTGGCCAACAATCGTACATTAGTGACCAACACAACTCTGTCAGATCTGATGAACGTAGCCCGAATGAAGCAGAAGAAGAAACGTGAAAGGTGAGTCCTTTGTATTTTTATCGTAGAAATCGTTTTGTATTTTTAGTTTACTATATGGATCTAGGACTAATCGAAACCTCCTAAGTTGGCCGAAATTTGTGAGATATTATTGGGTTTACGGCCGAAAACATCGTAAACAGCGAGGGTACTCAAATGATGAAACTTGGCTGCCATTCTAATCTTTATAAGTAAGAACGTAAGAAAAGTATATTGAATTAGCTATAATCGTTACTAGGTTGATTTCTGATTTTTGGTCTAAGTAAGTGGCTCTCTTTGATCAGAAGTTCATATTAATTGACTTCTAGTAGCTGTCTATATATGTATCTATCTATAAATACTGAAGCTTTTCCCGACTAGCCATTAGATATAGTAATAACAGAGCTACTAGGATTGATTTCAAAAAGAGAAAGTTTTTTTTCTTCTTAAGAACGTGTTTGAACAGAGGGAGAAGGGGCGTTTGATTTAACTTTAGAGGTGCTTCTTCAATAGAAAAGTCTGTGTTTGGTTTCATTTGAGTGAGTGCTTTAGAAGGAGGACATATATTTTCGACTTATTTTAAGAAAGTATTTGAATAGAGGAGTTTTAATTCACTTGAGTGAGGGTTTTAAAAAAATAGACTTAATTTTCGATTTTCCTTAAGGGGTGCTTCAACCGAAGGTTCTGGGTTTAATTTCACTTGAGTGAGGGTTTTAGAAGGGGAATAAAACTATCGACTTTTCCTTAAGGGGTGCTTCAACCGAAGGTTCTATGTTTGATTTCACTTGAGTGAGGGTTTTAGAAGGAAGTCTTTGTTTTGTGATTTTTGTTGGAACTTGTTAGATTATAGGTTTTAATGGGAGCATTTGAGTATTTTGTTGGAACATGTTATAGCATAGGTTTTAATGGGAGCATTTGAGTATTTTGTTGGAACTTGTTATAGTATCGGTTTTAATGGGAGCATTTGAGTATTTTGTTGGAACTTGTTATAGTATAGTTTTAATGGGAGCCTTTGAGTATTTTGTTGGAACTTGTTATAGTATCGGTTTTAATGGGAGCATTTCAGTATTTTGTGGTGGAATTCGTTTGGGCGAGATATAGCAGGAGTTAATTGAATGTTTTTAAGTATTTAATAGAATATCCTCTTTTTACACAATTTTTAGTTAAGACAAATCGTATCTTAGAAAAACTGTTATTCAAATTAAAATTGATTTATGGATCAAAAACACTGCAGGGTGTCAAAAGTCTGGAACCATGGTTGATTTTGCAGCTTTTCTTAATTTCAGATACGTGACTGATTATGGCGCTGTCAAAGCACGAGAAGGTTGAGTTAATTCTGTTGTTAATCCAAACTTATTTCGAATTACAAGGACAGCACTTGATGTCTTGTAGGTATGTTTGCTGAGGAGAATCATGATGGAATAACGCTATCTCTGCTGTTATTTGACTGACTGGCTATCATTAATTCTTCCCATTGATTTACATTGTTATCATTAATTCTTCCTATTGATTTACATGGTTATCATTAATTCTTCCCATTGATTTACATGGTTAGCCTTAGTTCTTACTTTCTGCGTTACTAGTACAACTTATAACATGACTTTAAGTTCAAATACTCTGTTTAAGTAACGAATATTTAACAGAAAAAGATATACACCTGCATGAAAACTTAATATTTCTAAAGTTCAAGCTATTAATGCACCAAAATAACTGAAATATAATGTTTCAGAATGTAGCTGGCTATAAGAATTGAAACATTTAAATTGCTGGTTTGTTTAAAATTCTGGATATTATATAAACTACTCAATTATTTATATATTCCTCCCTAATTTTGGAGTGATAAATTTGAGGGTAAACAGTTAAGGAGGGGCACCCATGTTCAACATTTGTGACATGCTCGTTCGTGTTTGTTTGTAGTTAAGCACAAAGCTACACAATGGGCTATCTGTGCTCTACCCACCACGGGTATCGAAACCCGGTTTCGTGCATTATAAGTCCGCAGAATTTCCATTGTGCCACTGGGGGGGGGGCACGATTGAAAATATTGTTTGTTTGTAGTTAAGCACAAAGCTCCACAATGGGCTATTTGTGCTCTGACCACCACGGGTATCGAAACCCAGTTTCTGGCGTTGTAATTCCGCAGACATGTCGTTCTCTTGTCTGCCCAAATAATGAGATTTTCCGGTCACTCTTATAGAGCACCAAGACACCGAATTGTGAAGATCATTTTTGTGGCAACGGGTCACAAACCATGGATATCTCGACCTGACCTTAGCTCTAATTGTTTGTTGGGTATTTAAATTTTCTGACTGAACTGAACTTTGGTCACTGACAAAAGAGTAGCGCACATCTTAGTGTTGCAATAACCTTTGAAATGTACAGCAGTGTTTAATGCACTAAAATACAACTTCTATAATCTTGTACAACGTTTTTAGTTGTCTTTTATTCATTTAAACAGAAATCATGTTTGATATGGCAGGCTGTTTTTACATCTACTTTTTCCCTTTTCAGTTTTTAGCAAATTCGAGCCACATATAAATATTTACTCAAAGAGTCGGTGTGAATAGTAGTGCTATGCTTGTCACTTACAACTAGAGGAGGTTTTTACTTCGTATTCGGGGGAGGGGGGCACATCGGGTAACAATGGGGTCGATGAAGTTAAAAAAAAAAGTTTCGACAGCGAATAAGTTGTTGAATTATGTGTAAAAATCACTTGAATTTTGAACGAAGTGCCAAAATTAAGACCCATTATTATAACTAGGGCAGTAGTGAATTCAGTTTTTGACTCTCGGGAAAATGTATGTGGAAAGTATTAAGAACATAGAGAATTTGATAAGTTAAAAATATCTGTCGTTCAATACACAGTATTATTTGAAACAGACGAAAGTAAAAACTACCCCTCGTTGTTAAGTTTCCAAAAATTATCATCGTATGTTGCTTTTAAAAGAAAAATTTACTTTATCTGTGATTACCTTATTCTACATTTATTTTTATCTAATTACTCTGCGAAAGTTCAGACGTTTAATTTTTAAAACTACACTATTGTGCGCTAACAAATTTACTTTATCTATGTTTACCTTATTCTACATTTATTTTTATCTAATTACTCTGCGAAAGTTCAGACGTTCAATTTTTAAAACTACACTATTGTACGCTAACAAATTTTCCACTTATCGGCTTTTTCACTTAAAACATTCATGTTAGAAAGTTTCCTTTTATTGACTAATCAATCATTACTTTCAAAACTAAATCGAACTCATTCAAGAGGTGTAATAATTCTAATAACAAGCCGGCTGGGTCATCAGCGGATTATAGCTTAATGTTGCTATATGTTTTTAGTATCGTATCGTGAATCGTTTATACTACTGTATCGATACATCGTCTGATACGATACATGTATCTTCACGAAATTTGACAAGCTTTCAGTAAACACTATAAGTTTTTTGCACAGAAACAATCATAATTTCTAATAAAGTATTTCTGCTAAAAATTAATGATTTAATAAAGGAAGATGAGTATTGAGTACTACATGTTGTCTTCATTTATTTTATCAAAAACATTACATGCAAAGTAATATAACAAATTAACAATAACAAAATAGATATACACATACTAACTTTGTTTTATTTTACTTCTCTTGTCAGCTGACATTTAGTTGATCAAACCTGAGAATTTAAAAAAATCACTGTAAAGTGTGAAATACTTAAATAAGACAATGTTAGTAATATAGATAATAAATTACAGACAAGACTGTTAAACTTTGTAACAAACCGTTGGTAAAACTTGTGTATCTAGATACGTGTCGGTATCCACTACTATGATGAGATACGCACCCCTATTAACTGTATCTAGTTTCGTATCGTATCCACTACTATGATGAGATACGCACCTCTATTAACTGTATCTAGTTTCGTATCGTATCCACTACTATGATGAGATACGCACCCCTATTAAAAACAATCTCGAACGAATTATACATGTATCAATCAATGCACATAATACTTCATAAATACGAATCGTATACTCCAACTTTTTAGTATTTCAGTCACTAAATAAAACTAACGGATTTGAAAATATAGAAATCACCGCGAATAATAAAAACTACGTTATTATCAAAGTACATTCGGGATGACCAGCGAGCGATGTAGGTATAGTTGCACTGGCAAGTACACGATGTAGGTGTAACTGGAGTGGCTTGTACTAGATGTAGGTATAACTGGAGTGGCTAGTACACGATGTAGGTATAACTGGAGTGGCTAGTAAACGATGTAGGTGTAAATGGAGTGGCCAGTACAAGATGTAGGTATAACTGGAGTGGCCAGTACAAGATGTAGGTATAACTGGAGAGGCTAGTACAAGATATAGGTATAACTGGAGTGGCTAGTACACGATGTAGGTATAACTGGAGAGGCTAGTACAAGATGTAGGTATAACTGGAGTGACTAGTACAAGATGTAAGTATAACTGGAGTGGCCAGTACAAGATGTACGTATAACTGGAGAGGCTAGTACAAGATGCAGGTATAACTGAAGTGGCTAGTTCGAGATGTAGGTATAATTGGACTGGCTAGTACACGATGTAGGTATAACTGGAGTGGCTAGTTCAAGATGTAGGTATAACTGGAGTGGCTAGTTCGAGATGTAGGTATAATTGGACTGGCAAGTACACGATGTAGGTATATTTGGACTGGCTAGTACACGATGTAGGTATAACTGGAGTGGCTAGTTCGAGATGTAGGTATAATTGGACTGGCTAGTACACGATGTAGGTCTGGTTGTACTGGCTAGTACACGATGTAGGTCTGGTTGTACTGGCAAGTACACGATTTAGGTATATTTTAAACTGGCTAGTACACGATGTAGGCATAACTGTAGTGGCTAGTACAAGATGTAGGTATAATTCGACTAGATATTACACGATGTAGGTATAACTGGAGTGGCTAGTTCAAGACATAGGTGTAGTTGTACTGGCTAGTACACGATGTAGGTCTGGTTGTACTGGCAAGTACACGATGTAGGTATAAT